TAAGATGTCTGCACAAGAGTTAACTGTAATCTGTGCAAACATTAAACTTAAATGAAACGTCTCGCTTTGGTCTACACTGGAAGTGTTCTGCTCGCTCTGCTAAAGCTAAACTATAATTACTAAAACTGAAACTAAATAAAATTAAAAAAAACTATATAGAAATGTGTTTGCAAAATAAAAACTAACAAAACCATTAATGAAACTAGCTAAAACTAAACTGAAATTTAAAGCAAAATTGAAAACGATATTAAAATAAAAACTAATTTAAAAAAGCAAAACTATAACAACAGATATTCCCGGAGACAGAGCACACCCGAAGACGGCTCTCACTCAGAAATCAATAAAGTCTTCATTCGCTGCCGGTTCTCATTATGACAAGAGTGAAGACGAGCAAAAAGTGGAAAGACATAACAAGTACATTCAGGCCTACCTTATGTTGCACGTTTGCACTTTTTGAGAAAAAAAAAATGGCACAATAAAAAAAAATATGTCCAATGAAATGCCTCACCTTTTTCTAGTTATCTAGTGTTAAAATACATATTTTGCCTGTAATTTAACTAAGGTGTACTAAAATGTGATTCCAATTTTTTTTCTCATATCGTGATATAATATCGATATCGTCCGGACAGTGAAAAATATCGTGATATGAATTTTTGCTCATATCGCCCACCCCTAAAAGAAGACGCACCAAGCACCTCCTCTCTCTCTTCGCTCTTCCTCCATCATGTGACGCGCTCTTGACTCTTGCCTTCTCTTACCTCCTTCGATCAGATGTAACCTTCGTACTCGTGATCCCCGCCCCGGGGGATCTTTTCTTTTCCTTTCTTTTGTTTTGTTTTTCCTTTCGACTTTGTTCATTTCCCCAGACGGGTAAATTAACTTAGCCTGAATTGTTTCTTTGGTAATCTACGTCCAAGACCTTTAAACCTTCGTTTGAAGCACGCGCTTCAGACCCGCAGCAAACCATGTGACGCTCCAACGGAACAGACCAGCCGATACAAAAGACCAACGCAGCCGGGCTCAGACACATGAGAACCATGCAAGTATATTTGGGTTACAGAGCTTTCAGAGCATTAAGACTGTGTTTTTTCCGTGTTGTCTCTCAAAGGTTGTAAAGTCTGTAATTTGCCACCGATCCTGTGATCCTTACGGATCTCTCTCTCTCTCTCACTCTCTCCCTGTTTCTTTCACTTTCAGATTCTTTCAGTGTTTTGTTTTCTCCGTGTTATTTGTTGTATATACATTTATTCCTGGAACGTTATTAACCGTATACGTAGTTTTCCTTTATTAAATTCATTATATTCATTCATTGATTCTGTCGTGTTTTGCTCATATCCAAGTCCCTTTAATGTCTCGATCAAAGCTACTAGCTTTACAAATTTATTGATACTTAAAAGATATCGTTATAGAACAGAAAAGTTGATCCTCGTGGCCAGGGGAACAGCTTCTCTTGAAAGTCTATGAAGTAAGATAATTTTGTGAGGTTTGATGGAGATCGAATGATCAGGCTTGCGGGACAAGCAGATGATTCGATCATAAATTAATCCCCTCAAATATTATTCTGACAATTGAGCTAATTTTAACCTGTCTGTAAAATATATGTACATGTAGTTGATCATAATCCCTTGTGGTTAATTGCCGATGTATAGATATGAATGCAGATCCGGGTAACATATTATCCCCCTCTTTGGGCGATTTAACATGTATAAGTATCTGGTTCAAACCCGTATGAATAATTATTAATTATGAATTATTAATTATTGAATACATATTCCCCAAAACGACCCTGGATACTTTACACAGTACAATAGTTTTTTGTAAGGAACACAGGACATTTTAGTCTATTGTATTGCATGTGTTGTATAGATCACTTTTATGGTGCTGTAACTGTTATGTGAAGCTTGATATCCCTATTTTACTGTCATTATGTTGAAAAGAGTGGCCAGGATAGTCTGCAAAAAAGAGTTTCAGTTTCTCTTTATTGATGAAATGTCTTTTATTGAAAACTTTTTGTTACCATTTTAGTTTAATTTATTCAGTAGTTTATTCATGTATTTTTTTTCATTCATGTATTAATTCATTCTTTCGTTCATTTATTTTTTCATTAATTTATTTACATAGAATGTTCTTGCAGACTGATCCTCAAACAGCAGTTATATATGGGACGATTTTAGTATCAAAATGATTAACACGTGCAAGCACACTTATCAATGAACTTGATACATGTTGCAGAAATGTTTTATCCATGCCTTTCAACTTGTGTGTGCAAAATTCAAAATTGAATGAATGTGAAGCAATTTGTACAAATAGAGACATTTTTGTGAATACAAATGTTTTCCTTTGTATTAGTGTATCATAATTTGCACATGCAACACAGAAGACATGCATGTGTGGATCAGGTGACGCGCGTGCATTCATTGACTCGATTCATTGAGTCGATCCTATTTGATTCATTTGGATTTTGAGACTTTCATTTCGCGGGTTTCGCCTTGCACGATCCACACACAGCTGTCTGAGAAAAGCTGCTACCACTAGATGGCAGTATTCTGCTAAAACAGACAACGGCAGCATAATCAAGCGTTCTTCCGCATTTAAGACGCTTAATGAGAGTGATATTGAAGCACCAAATTTAGTACACAATAATATAGGCCTACCCTATTAATAAAGCATACTTTATAGAGGCAAACATTACGTCAGATTATGAACAACACCCATAGAAAACCATTATAAAACGCTTAACGTGCAATCGCGCGTTGCACCTTTGGAACTGAGTTTAAATATCACCGTCTTACTGCATTGACGTTAAGCTTTTTCTTTATAATATGCTCTATGGGAGGAAAACTATATAGCCTACAGACAAGAGACTACATGAACGCAACGCACGGCGTTTCAAGTTAATACAATTTTCCTTCCTGTTAAAAAAAAGGTGAAATTTCGCAGTTGCGTTCATATTATATGCTTATTTTTATCTGACTACACATTGTGTACATAGTATACAAGCAGGAATTTGAAAATGTCTGTTTTTAAATATTAAAGACGATTTTCGCAGTACATTTGTTTTCCCTTGACCCTTAAGCCATAGGCTATAGTCTTACTATAGCACGATGAGTTTTAACAATATGCAACCATTGTATATCGACATGAAATATTAATTGAAAATCAACTGGCGTAGCGGGCCTGTAGCTGCATATTTCTACATGAGAATGCTTTGACGCGCTAACCACAGCTCATGATGCACAAGGGAACGTCTGCCAATTCCACTAACTGCGTTAAAACCACTGATCTATAATGTCATTCTATATAGATCAGTGGTTAAAACGTATAATTTGTTTTAATTCAAATTACTTTTTAAATTTAATAACAGACATTTTCAAATTCCAAAGCTCGTAGAAGGTTTCTGTAAGACTGACTTACAAGTAAAATTTGGACAATACTTCCCTTCATGTAGCCTGTATTCTGCAGAAAAATACTGTAATTCACCAAAAGGGTTTTTTCATGTTCAAAATGGTTGTAGTATGTTCAGTGACTAGACTGGCTTACTACAGGTGAAATTGCCCCAATAACTCCCTTCATGTAGCCTATTTAGTAAACAATTATTATTTTATAAAAAAATTACTGTAATTAACCAAACGGGTTTTTGGTGACTTACTACAAGTGAATAATGTAAAATTTCACCTGACTTGTCACTAGGAACGTACTACAACCTTTGGAACATGAATAGAAAAACAATTTACAGTAAATTAAACAATTGTAGGCTACTGTTCAATCGAGATATTGGCTGGACATAGTACAGTAACAGTAGGCTAAGTCAGTCTGCCCACTAGACTTCCAAGGTTATAATATAACCTTGGAAATATGTTCATTTGAATGAATGACTGGACGTTTATATTTTTTTGACTGTGAGTGGAGTTTGCAGATGGTCCCTTTATAAAATGAGGCGAATATCAAACCTAAAACTTACTTCACTGCACTCTCGGACCGGTTGCTCTCCCATTCACATGCAAAGTTAAACGCAACTGCAGAATTTTTATTTCATGTTAAGCTTTTTCTTTTTAACAGGCTCGGGAAGGAAATGTTATTAACTTGAAACGCCGTACATTGCGTTCATGTAGTCTCTTTTCTGTAGGCTATATAGTTTTCCTCCCATAGAGCATATTATAAAGAAAAAGCTTAACGTCAATGCAGTAAGACGGTGATATTTAAACTCAGTTCCAAAGGTGCAACGCGCGATTGCACGTTAAGCGTTTTATAATGGTTTTCTATGGGTGTTGTTCATAATCTGACGTAATGTTTGCCTCTATAAAGTATGCTTTATTAATAGGGTAGGCCTATATTATTGTGTACTAAATTTGGTGCTTCAATATCACTCTCATTAAGCGTCTTAAATGCGGAAGAACGCTTGATTATGCTGCCGTTGTCTGTTTTAGCAGAATACTGCCATCTAGTGGTAGCAGCTTTTCTCAGACAGCTGTGTGTGGATCGTGCAAGGCAAAACCCGCGAAATGAAAGTCTCAAAATCCAAATGAATCAAATAGGATCGACTCAATGAATCGAGTCAATGAATGCACGCGCGTCACCTGATCCACACATGCACGTCTTCTGTGTTGCATGTGCAAATTATGATACACTAATACAAAGGAAAACATTTGTATTCACAAAAATGTCTCTATTTGTACAAATTGCTTCACATTCATTCAATTTTGAATTTTGCACACACAAGTTGAAAGGCATGGATAAAACATTTCTGCAACATGTATCAAGTTCATTGATAAGTGTGCTTGCACGTGTTAATCATTTTGATACTATAATCATCCCATAGTTATATGAGTACTTTTATATTAAAATGATTACATTATTGCATATTATTGAATAATGTTGCTTTTGATATGTGTAGTATTTTGATTTAGTATTTTAGTATATTAGTATAGTATATTATACACTGATTTTTCCTTTTTTATTTCTCATTTTCTCCTCCCTCACTCTCTGGCACTGCTTTCCAGTCGGTTACCACGGAAACAAGGCTCGGTGTTGTATTGTACGACGGGCATTATTCTTCAGTGGCTCCGCTCAGATACGTAAGTGTTCCAAACCTCTTTTCCTCCACTCCTTTCTGCTGTTTCATTACTCCCCTCCCCCATCCTCTGTCTGCTTTGGCTCTTCTTTTTCTTTCAGTAAGAGACGCCGGTGTTTAATCAATGCACAGCTGGTGTACAGGGCGCACACATGCACTTATACATACTCAAAGCAATGTCAAACATAATTGCACATACATTCAATATCACTCACTGACTCACTCACTCAGATCAACTCTGCTTCAGCGGCTGCAGAGTGGAGATGCCTAAAGTACCGTTCACCATGCCTCTTAGTTTGACTCATCTTCTCAGACAGCTTTCACCGCAACCCATATAGAAAACGCATTATGTACTGTTGTTGTTTTGTTTTTTTCTTTCACATCTCTTCTGTTTTCATGCTGATATATTCGTATGCACAGAAGTCCCTGATAAAAGCCTGTTAGGGATATGAATGACATCATTCAGGCTACGTTCACACAGTCAGTGTTTGGTATTGACAACAGTGTTTATTTACAGCTGTGATTCTCGAATTGCCCTGTTTGTGCAGAAGTAGGGCTGGGCAATATGTTAATATGCATGAAAAATACATCATGTTGAAATTTTTCATATCAGTCGATATCATAATTATCACGATAAATGTCTTTTTTTTCAAGTTTAAAGGCAGATCTTTGCTCCTGAGTGAGGTGAACATTTCACAAATTAATATTACATGTTTTGTCTCTTAGAAATTCACATATAACAGTAGCTTGAGTTGGGATGCAGATGTAAATTTGTTCATCAACAAATCATCTGTAAAAATTGTAACAACCTCATTTTTTGGGGTAAAATTTGATTGGGTAAAATGTAGTATTCCATAGTATTTGGATCATGCTAACCACAGGTAAAACCACGCATTGCACCTCACTACCATGGTAAAAAATAACTGTATTATTGTTTATGTGGTATTTGTTATGAAAAGCAGTAGCCTAAAGACATTTAGTAATAAAAATGCATAAAAAAACGTCTCGGGTTACTATTGTAACCATCAGGGAACGAGACGCTGCATCGATACTCAACGCTTTGGGGAATGCCTTCGGCATGTAGCATTTGAAGTCGACTATGGAATTATTCCAATCTCGATTGGTGTAGCGTCATTACGTCACTCGTGACGTCGCATGTGACGGTGATCCGGAAGCTATAAAAAGGTCACAGGAAACAGGAAATGTTAGCTTCTGATTGGTCAAAGCAAATCGTTCTCAGGAGCGCGGGATGCAGTGTGGCTGAGGGATGCAGCGTCTCGTTCCCTACTCAGGGAACGAGGGTTACAATAGTAACCCGAGACGTTCCCTTTCGTAAGGGAACTCCCGCTGCATCGATACTCTACACTTTGGGGAGCAAATAGCCACGCCGCCACACTGAGAGAAATAAGCCCTGGTGTGAAGCATCTGGCACACTCACGGACAATAGGAATGAGTAGAGGGCAGATCCAAACTAGATTGTCATAAGATTTGGTGTAAGAAGGGGAGGTCTGGAGCCGGAGGCTCAACTGACCCCATGGAAGGGAACCCTGGACAGTAGAAAGTATTAGATGAGAGGACAAGGCAGAAGTGCACCTCGTACATCAATTATGAGAGGTTTCCGCAGATAACCAACTGTCTAATTGATAAAGGAGAATAGCTCCTAGCCCTTGATACATATCTAGATGGACTAACTCCTCCCAGCCCAAGGCCTAACATAGGGGCCTCCAAGGCTATGACCTTGACCATCTGACACATGCGATGGAGGATGGAATACCGTAAGAATCATAATATTGCCTACAGGGGCAGAAATAAAGTAGAGTGGCTCCCACGCCATCAAGTAAGAGGGGGCAGCACCACCGCTCTTCAGGGAGTAGAACGAGCAGGAAGCAGACTCAATAGATTCTTACATATCACATAAAACTCATATATTTCATATATCTGATATATCTCATCCACAGGACATGATGGGTGCCAGGGATAACCTGTCAGCCTGATGCCAATAGGCTGGATGACAGGATTCATCCTCCGATCTACAGGAACATGGAGTTTTTTATTGGGAATGTCCCTACGTGCTCACCCTTAGAAGCTTGCGGAGGGCACTGAGGCCGCCACAGAGGCCCTAAACATGAACGGGAGGTCCCGTTAGAGAACAGGATGGAACCCCAGTACTGAAGCCTGTGGGCAGTATTTAACTGGGTTCAATGCCGTACCTAACCTTTTTTTTAAAATATTTAGTTCCTAGTAGAGTGGGGTTCTAGAATGGATAACCTAACCACCTCGGTGGAAAGGGCAACCTATTTATGGGTTGGTCCCCCTCAGGGGCCAGACCCATAGTCTCCATAACTCTGGCCGTGGATGAAATATTGTACCATCGGCCTGGGAAAGAAGATCTCTCCTAATAGGGACTCGCCATGGAGGACTCTCCAAGAGACTAATAAGGTCCGAAAACCAAATTCGGGCTGGCCAGTACGGAGCTACAAGGAGTAAGCTCACACCCTACCTCCTGACCCTTTCCAGAACCCCAGGGTGCAGAGCGATCGGGGGAAAAGCGTACAGATGTGACCTCGGCCACATCTGTACCATGGCATCCAGGCCCAAAGGAGCTGGATGTGAGAGAGAGTACTAGAGCGGACAGTGTGAGTTCTCATGAGAGGCAAACAGGTCAACCTCCGCCCGGCCAAACTCTCTCCATATAACAGGGCTCCAGACTGTGACCAAAATTTGAGTGTGCGACTGAATTTTACATCCAGTCGCACATGTGCGACCAGTAAATTTGCCACACGTTAAACGTGGAAGGGGCGCGCCAATGAATCCGGAATGAGTGGCAGGCCAATGAGTGTGACAAGAATAGGGAATGGCCACTGTAAGTGGCTAATGTGTGGAGAGGGAGGGTCCTAGAGATAATCGAGCGCGTGTAAACGTCTGTAGGAAGGAGACAGAGACAAATATCACAACCTGCTATGTGCGTCTGAGCAATGAGCAAGCACTCTATCGACTTGTTGCCGAGCAGCGAATGCAAACAAAATGAAAGTGGAACGAAAATACGCTACTCATTTATGCTTCACGGACCGTTTATTAGTTTGGACCAATAATAGACAGTGCAGCATAGACAGTAAAATGAAGCCCCGAACTTGCCAGTCGCGGGCCGATCTCGATCACGCGACACTGTTACTTGGAGATCCAGTGAAGAAATCCATTGAATTCGCCTCAGAATTAATAACATCATCGCTACGAGAAGCATTGAATCCAGTGAGAAACATTCCGATTCGGCGCAGAGTTCTCTGTTATAAACCATAGATATGAGATCAAACAGCGCTGACGTGGAAACTAGGAGAAACACTTATAGAAGGCTTTCAGTCCACAAATCAGCAACATTCACCATGGATTTAGGCTAATGTAGTAACTCTAACCATAAATATGATATTGTGACAGAAATAGTCAAACGCTTACAAGTACTACACATCTTTTTCCAGCACTTCAAAACTATAATATAATATATAAATGTTTTTTTTTTATATGATGACCAACACATTTTTTGTTCATCCTTCAAAGATTGTTGTAAAACGAAAAATTTTAAGATGTTGGAAAACACTTATTTAAAAAAAAAAAAAAAAAATTACCATTGTAAACAGTAGGATGTTTATTGGCTATTTTCACTCCTTTAACCTGTTAAGCTGCAACCCCATTTTTGAAAAATCCCCAGATATGGCATACCCAAACTGAAACAGATACAGTTCATGAACCCTTTGTACTAAAAGCACAAGAAAGATCTCATTTGAAAGCTGACACCTGGAAGTTTATTGTAAATGTAGAATGAATTATTGTCATAATGAAAAATAATAGTTATAAATAGCTTCAAAGTTTTTATACATTAAGTTATTATACATTTATTTTTATGAAACATCTTCATGAAAATAAAATTGAAGTTGGCATTGTAGCAATCTAGAAATGCACTGCAGCTAAAGCCACATGTCTGACCATGTTATATTTAAAATCTGAAGATGATAAGTCTAAAACTCTGTATTTAGTTCAATGTTTTTCAAGATCATGTCATATGACTTTATTTTGATTAGACTCTAAAATGCAAACTGGTGTTTATTGTCATCTTCTAGCATCTATTCAGTCTATTGTCTCTATTATTTTGTGTTGCTAAACGAGCCCCATTCAGTCTCAGTCTCCCCTGCACACATTCACACCTCTCCAGCCTGGTTATGGCTCTAAATATGCTTTTCTTTTGTCTACATTATAATCACTAACGACTGGCTATTCACACTGTTTCAATCCCTCATCTCTTTTACCAAAGTTCTCACTTCACAGTGAAACTGTATCAAATGCCCTTTTTGAAAAAAGAAACATAAGCATTCCTATTTAGAAAAAAAAACATAAAAATGACAGCGAAGTTAGGTGGCAGGCAGGTGCACAGAGCTAGCTAGCATGTTAGCTTAGCACACCATCAATACACGACAATTTATGAGATTAAAACTATGTTTGTGCTCCAAACTTACTTTATAGCGCAAGTCGAGTGTTTTAAATAACTTTCTGTGATCTGATTTGGCTTCAGATAAAAAATCAGATAGAAAATATATTATTTTATTGTATTCTGCACAATTTGAAAGTCTATATCGATTAGCATTACATTATACATATAATCTATTATTATGAAAATACCTGACATGGCTCGAAGAACACAGGTAAATCAAATATCATTGCAATCATGTTTATTGTCTTCAAAACATCTTTATCTGCACTTTACAGCGATCTCTGATAGCTTTGTTGTGTCAGGACTTCCTGAATGTCACATGATTATGGCTCTTCTTCATGTGATCCATATATGGACTGCATACGTGCACACAGCGCCCTCAGACTGCCAGTATGAATTGAAAACACAGTACATCAGAGTATACAGCGCTCATAATGATTACATCGATGCATTTGGGTATAAATTCAATAAATTTTATTTCTGTCTATAGAAATCTGATGTAAACCTATGAGAATCTATCAATA